GTTTAAGCGCGGATAAATCGCCCCCGGATCGAGCCCGGAAGTGCTCACAGTCGGCGCCGGTACTCCAGCTCGCCGAGAGGAGTACGCGGCGTCGACGGGGGGAGACTTCCGGCCGCGTCTGGACCGCGTAAGTTCGGACTAAGGTACTTCGAATTCAGCTACGTTATTAACGTAGCTGAATTTGCGTACCTTAGTCCGAAGTCCGGACTAAGTGGGGACCAGGCCTTAGTTAATGCGAGGTGTCTATGAATCAGTGTTCCAAAATAGGAAAAGGCTAGTGCCTACCTTAATCTGTGTGATAAAATAAATGAATCAAGGGACCGCTCTAAAAAAAAACAATAGTTGCAGTTCACAGCCTCTGCTATCCAGTCTTCTATCTCGGGGACCGTGTATGAATTACTACAACGGGATATTTAAATTGGAATAGGTGACAGCTCTGTCCAACGCTATATGTTGTAGCCGAGACAAGGTGGGTGAGGTAATATCTTTTTCTCACCAATGGAAGTTGGTCCAACAAAAGATATGATCTCACCTTAGCTCAGTCCGGTGCAATCATCCAGTTTGCCAGTTGGAACTATGTATGAGACGCACTCTGCTTTTTTCCCCTATAGCAATAGTGCCATCTATTGGGTGTTTAGGTTAGTCACAGTGAATAAAATAATCCACAATTTAAACATTGGTCAGCCATGTGTACTTACCCAGGAGAGCGCAGCTCCGGTATAGGGTCCGTTTTCTGCTTGATGCCCAGGCTTCCTGATGGACAAAGTGAGGCACAAACAAGTGATATTTTTTCAAGTCTCACTGAATGAGAAAGTGGCTCAATCTGGATTAAGAATTTTTGGAGGTTCTGTGCTGTCGCCATTTTAGGATAGATGAGCTGGTCTATAAAGCAGTGCTTGCTGCTAGCGGATCCTGTAGAACAGCCTCCTCTGGTAGTTACATTTCATCCGTCTTTCTGTTTGCAAATTCTCTGAACAGGCTTTCTCCAGAGGGGGCTGCATTTCAGTGATACCAGGGTAAAGACGGCCTACCTGTGTGTGTGTGTGTGTGTGTGTGTGTGTGTGTGTGTGTGTGTGTGTGTGGCAGTGGTACTTGAGCTTGTGCACTCTTTTTGCTCTTGTGTAAAGAAGTCTGAAACGATTCTCTCCTCCTCCCTACCCCTTCCCTCATTCTGCCCCCCGCCACCCCCTGGTTTATTTTGTTAGAAATTCAGGCCTGTCCAGGAGGGCAGGACCCAAGGGATAACTGGAGAGCTAATGTAATTGGTCACAAGAGAGTGAAAGTTGAGCAATCATGAGGAGAAGGGATTATTAGTCACTGTCGCTTTGTTAGTGTAATTCGCTGGTGAGTGTTACAGTTACTCCTCTGTGCCAATGAGCAGATGATGAGAGTTGTTGCCAGCCCATTGTTACAAAGCCTTGGCTCTTTAGTTTAAGACCATGCTGTTACCTCTGGGGGTCCTTGGTTCAATCCCTCAAGTTGACCAAAAGGGTGGCTGTCCATTAGCACCTCCTTAATGTCAACAATGAACATTTTGGATAAAAGGCTTCTCTGTTAAAACTTCAACACCCTTCAACTAAGCGGGTAAGCGCCCCCTAAGTCTCCTTTGAGGTGCCCAACAAATCCTCCAGCAATAATAAGGAAGGTCCCCGCAGGACATTCCTGATACTTCCAAACAGCTACAACTTCAGCTAGAAGGGGTGTCTCTCTCTCCCGCACACTCGGTGCAATCATGACTGTATCACAGCCACCTCCTTAAAAGCCCTTGCTAAATCAGAATAAAATCCAAAGTGGGGAACTCTCCAGACCAATGCTTTGCCAGGACTTTTGCAGTGTACAGTCAATACTTAGTTTCTTTTGGATGACCCAGAAAAGGGTATGCGAGATTCTGCTTTTACTCTGAGTTTTCAGTGTAAAATGACAATAAAAAAGGGCTTAAGGGCCAGTGGCATTCAGATCAACCTGTTATTCATAGCTAGTCATATGGCGTTACTTTCACTCCTGTCTGCTTGCTATAGTGACTCATTAAACTCCCCGAGTTAAGTCTTGCTGATGAGTGACCTGGGCGCTCCTGACTCGGAGTTTGCGCACTGGGTGACATGTCTGAGTAGCGCAAGGGGATGAGCATCAGAAACGCTGATCCTACTTCGAGACCACATTGGCGATTTATTTTTTGTGTCCCTCTGTAGCTGGGCACTGTTGTCCTCCCCTCTGCTTTGCCCATATCTGGCCTGAGCTGCGCTGTCCTGGGAAATGACTTTGATGCAATCCTTCCTGGTACAGATAAACAGTGATCCTGTTTCCCGCAAAGCTTTTTCTGATCCCTGCATTAATTACCCTTATTGAATTTCAGAAGAGTAGGCTAGTTAAGACAAGCCTGTCCTGGGCATTCATGCAAACACATTGCATTAATTTCATTTGCTAATGTCATGACTTAAAGCGAGTAACTACCTAGGCCTCCTTTAGGTTTTCACTTGGTAAATATCAATAGCAGCACTAGCAGTGGTTAAGTTGCTAGCAAAGTATCAGAGAGGCCCCTGGACTTGGCTCTCATCACAGCGAACCTGATGTCTGCTTTTACTCAGCCACCAACTCGGCATAGTGTCCTCACTGATTATGGCTTTGCGTTTA